ACAGATAGCCAACCTATCAGATGCACAGTTCAAAACACTGGTAATCTGGATGCTCACTGAATTGGTTGAGTGTGGTCACAAAATGGAGAAAAAACTGAAGGCTATACAAAGTGAAACAACGAAAAATATACAGGGAGCCAACAGTAAAGGGAAGGAAACCGGGACTCAAATTAATGATTGGCAGCAGAAGGAAGAGATAAACATTCAACCAGAACAGAATGAAGAAACAAGGATTCAGAAAAATGAGAGGCTTAGGAACCTCTGGGACACCTTTAAGTGTCCCAACATCCGAATCAGAGGGGTGCCAGAAGGAGGAGAGGAAAAGCAAGAAATTGAAAACTTATCTGAAAAAATAATGAAGGAGAACTTCCCCAGTCGGGCCAAGGAAACAGACTACCTGGAGATCCAGGAAGCTCAGAGAGTCCCAAAAAAGTTGGAACCAAGGAATCACACACCAAGGCACATCAAAATTCCATTACCCAAAATTAAAAATAAGGAGAGAATCTTAAAAGCAGCAAGGGGAAAGAAGACCAACCATTACCTACAAAGGAGTTCCCATAAGACTATCAGCTGATTTCTCCAAAGAAACCTTGCAGGCAAGAAGGGGCTGGAAAGAAGTATTCAAAGTCATGAAAGACAAGGACCTACATCCAAGATTACTCTATCCAGCAAAGCTATCATCTAGAATGGAAGGGCAGATAAAGTGCTTCCCAGACAACATCAAGTTAAAGGAGTTTATCATCACCAAGCCCTTATTAAATGAAATGTTAAAGGGACTTATATAAGAAAAAGAAGATCAAAAACTATGAACCATAAAATGACAACAAACTTAAAACTATCAACAACTGAACCTAAGGGGGTAAAAAAAAGCTAACTAAGCAAACAACTAGACCAGGAACAGAATCATAGAAATGGCGATCACAGTGGAGGGGGAGTGGGATGAATGTGAGAAAAGGTACATGGAATAAGCAGCATAAATAGTAGGTACAAAATAGGCAGGGGGAGGATAAGAATAGTATAGGAAATAGAGGAGCCAAAGAAATTCTATGTACGACCCATGGACATGAACTAAAGGGGTAGGAGGGTAATGCTGGGGGTGGGCAATGCTGGAGTGTGGGGCAGTGCAGGATGGAGGGGAATAAAGGGGAGAAAAAAATGGGACAACTCTAATAGCATAATCAATAAAATATATATTAAAAAATAAAAATAAATAAAGATAAAAATTAAAAATAAACATCAAGTGCTCAGGAGATGTGAGGAAGCTGAAACCTCGAACACTAGAGCAGGGAGCGTAAAGTTGTAATAGCCATGCTAGAGAGCAATTTGTCAGGAAATTAAGGGACCCATGGATCTACATATGGGAGCCCAGTCTTAAGTATATAGTTGAAAGAAATTCACAACCTGATCCATAAGGAGACAAAACAAAGGTGTTCTTGTTTAGGGTAGCAATAAGCTGGAAAAGAAACCATTACTAGGAGTGCTAATTACTACCATATTGTCTCTCATTAACAATTCACCCTTCTGTACTCTACATTATCTTACTGGGGCTGGGACTTTACAAAGTACAATACCCCTTGCCAAGTGGTGCCCTGTTGGCTCCCATTGGCAGAACCTAACAGGGAGAAGACTGGAAGTAAGGAGAAGGGAAATTTTCATCTGTTCTGCTTGCTGTTTGTATCTTTGATGTAATAATGATGTAAAAGGAAGAATTCTGTGCTGAATATATTAAATTTGAAGTGATATTGAGTATCCAAGTGGAAATAAAAACCTTGAACATTACTTATTGTTATTTCTATAAGTCCCTCATTCTGAATAATCATTCCTCTGATAATTCAAAAAACAAAACAAACAAACAAACAAAAAAAACAACCCAGAAATGAAATACTAGGCAGGGAAGTGAGAGATAAAGTTCTATGACTTTCTATAGGTGTTACTTTTCTGACCATTCTAAAAAGCAAATACAGCCCTAGCTGGTGTGGCTCAGTGGACTGAGCACCAGCCTGCAAACCAAAGGGTCACAGGATCGATTCCCAGTGTAGGGCACATGCCTGGGGTGTGGGCCAGCTCCCCAGCAGGGGGCTCATGAAAGGCAACCACACACTGATGTTTCTCTCCCTTTCTTCCCTCTCTAAAAATAAAATCTTTTAAAAAAAACCTCACAACCTCAAAAAAAAAAAAAAATGCAAATGCAATCATGTCTCTCCTCTGTCTAAAAACTTTCCTTAATAGAACCTACAAGGTATTGTATAAATCTGACCTCTGTATCATCTAATACACTCTACCACTCATTGTCTCTTCCAAGAGTCAAACCTATTTATACAAATAGGCCATGGTGGCCTTCTTTCCAGCCCCAGGACCTTCTTCCCTCATCCCCATTCTTCCTTTACCTAGACAACTTCAACTTATCTTCTAGTTCTTTAATCAGGAATTTCTGTTTCATGGAAGATGGATTAACCACATTTTTACCTATTCCTCCTGCTATGCAAAACCAAAAATCCTGGGCATTTTACGTAAAACAAGCATAAAAAGATGCTGAAAGGTGGAGAGAAGAAGGCAAGTTGGCTAGGAACTTGAGGACCACACAACATGGTGGTAAGTTCTCTGGGTTTTGTTTTTGCTTTCTATGTTCCAAATTCGGAGCTAAAGAAGCTGGAAACCAGAAATACCAATGGGCACGGACAAAATAACACCAGTGAAAGCCCACTCTATCCAGCCAAAAGACTTAGACATGGGTAGCCTAGCAAGGCAGAAAACTTTTAGATAAGAACCACTCTACTCCAGCCAAGCACCCTAGAAAAAAAATGTAGATTCACTCTCACCAATGCAATCAAAGGTTCAATAGGAAACCAGGACTTTTATCCTTGTCAGTAGTAACGCGCTCCCTCTTCCACCACAGTGTCAGTGAAGATCCCTTGGAGAGCCTGTACTTCCACCTGCCCCCAACAACCTAGCCGTACAGTTACACGTTACTTAATGATGCGGATATATTCTGAAAAATTTATCATTAGATAATTTCATCCTGTGTGAACATCATAGACTGTATTTACACACACCTAGACAGTAGCCTACTAACACTTAGATTATAAAGTATACCTTACTGCTTCCAGCTGCACAGCATGGTACTGTACAAAACAACACAAGATTAAATCAAGCACAAGAGAAAATGATACACTCAAGAGAGGTAGTAAACACCAGATGTATGAGGCTGCTGCCAGCATAAGACAACATAGTGTTTTACAGCTTTTTAAAAATAAGTAGAAGGAATCCATTCTACGATTCCGATAAAAAGTATCGTATAGTAAATGGATAAACCAGTAACATAGTTATTTATATCATTATAAAATATTATGTACTGTACCTAACTGCACATAATACAATGATTGGCAGTACAGTAGGTTTACACCAACATCACCACAAACACATGAATAATGTGTTTCATACATTGTTGAACCACTGCATCATTATGCAGTGCCCCTACCCTGCCCACTAGGGTGGTATCAACAGAGGCCAAGTGGGGAACCTGGACTTCTACCCCCACTTGCAGCAACAAGGTAGAAGACCCCCTCCTTCCTCCTGTTAGAGTCTATCAAAAGAAGCCAGCTAAAAGAGAAGGCTTAAATAAGATCCAAAGGAGCAGAGCAGTACAAAGGAAGCACGCTGGGTCCATGAGTAAGATCCACAGTCTTACTGAAAATTACTGCATTTTGCCATGTATAAAATGCACTTTTTTGCCCAGATTTTTGAGGGAAAAATAAGGGTGCACATTATACATGCGTAGTACTAATTCCTTATCTATATAAATGTTTTAAATTCTTTTATTTATGCTTAGGCATTGAAAGTATAACTCTAGAAAGCAATAATGATATCCATATGCAAAATAACACCTTGGAATATGATAATCATTTTTATATATAAATTAAAAAATTGAATTAAAAAATTAAAATAAAAGATTGTTTTCCTGAAAGTCTGAGCCACAAAGTGAGTGCGCATTACACATGGTGAAATACAGTACTTGTCAACCAGGAAGATCTCAAACTGAATTTAAAAAGTCAATAGCTAAAGAGAGAAAGGAAGAAAGGGAGAGAGAGAGAGAAATGTTAGAATTACCTGACAAAGTTTTAAAGGAACTATTGTAAAATTGCTTCAATGAACTGAGGACATTCTTGAAACAAATGAAAAAATAGAAAATCTCAGTAAAGAAATAGAAGATATTAAAAAACAACACAGAAATTTTTCAACTTAAAAGGTACAATAACCAAAATAAAAGCTCAAAGGATAGTGTCAACAGTGAAACCGAGGGGACAGGGAAAATAATCAATGAACTGGAAGAAATTATACAATCTGAACAACACAGAGGGAAAAAAAGGCTGGGAAAATAAAGAACAGAGTCTCAGGGACTTGTGGGACTAAAATAAAATATCTAGCACTCATTGGAGTTTCAGGAGAGGAGAAGCAGGGCAGGGCTGAAAAAGTACTCAAAAAAAATTCAGCTACAAACTTCAAATCTGGCAGAAGACAGAAGCCTAAAGATTAAAGAAGCTAAGGAAACTCCAAAAAAAGACAAACTCAGAGAAATCCATACCAAGACACATCATCGTCATATTTCTGAAAAGTAATCAGGTTAGAGCTCAGTTAACTCCTAACTATCTTTCAGTACTCTGTTTAAATTAGGCTCTCTTAATATGCTATCCCATTGCACACTGGTACTCTTCCTTCCTAAGACTTACCACATAATTACTTGCTCAACGTAATCTTCCCTATGAAACCATAAATTCCATAGGGGAAGGAATTTGGTAATTGTTACATCATAGCACTTAATGAAGTGCCTATCAAATAAAAGTTGCTTAATTAATATTTGTTGAACAATGAATGAACAAATAATTCTTCTTCCAAAAAAAGTCCCCTCTTAACTACTAACCTATTTTGTCCTTTTCTTAAAATTGTCCCAGAGACTTACCTCTTGATCGGTTGTTATTGCTTCCAGGTTAGCCTGTCCTTACCTTATTAGTTTGCAGAATTCTTGCATGAAATGCAGCTGGCCAGGCATGAAGCAACAAGTAAGCATAGGAGCGAATGGCATAAACTGGGGAATATTCCCATGTCTGAAACCCCTTCCCATAGATGAGGTAGTGTGTCTGAAAACACAAAACAGGTGAATTCAGGTTATATTGGCCAAAAATCCTTGTTAAAAGGCAGGTGAAGTTTTTAAGCAAAAATAAAATGAGATAATGGTACACAAGAAAGTTGAAACTCTAAACAAGATTTGCAACTAATGGAGAAGAATGAAAATGACCCAATATTGAAAAATATTAGGACATTATAAATTCTACAAGATTATTGTTTGGCCAACATTAAAAGTTTGAATTTTACCTTCTACTTTTTTTTTTTATTCTTGTTAGCCAATACAGTGAGGCTCTGTATCTTATATTTTCCTTAAACTACCTACACTAAACATTATTTTTTGATGAAAAATGTGATTAGAAAATTTAACCTCTGAATTTTCTATAATAGGAAATCAACGGACTCATAAATCTAAAAATCAAGAAAGAGCAATATAAGCATATTATTTAGTAACAATATTTATTTTAGTAAACATCGGAAGAAATAACTAAGAAAGTTGAAAGGAAGTGTTTGCCTATAGGGTCTAGGATTTGAACATAAGAAGTGGAACAGAGAGCTACTGTTTTTTCCTTAAAGTAATGGTTAACTTTAAAAACTCAAAGTATTATTTTGATTTGAAAAAGTTTAAAGGAAATTACATCTTTTTTAAATTTTTAAATTTATTTATTGATTTTCTTTTTTTCCTCATTTGAGGAATTTTTTTTTTCATTCCCTTGAGAGAGAGAGGGGGAGGGAGGGAGAGGGAGAGACAGAAGCACTGATAGGTGAGAGAGAAACATCAAATTGAGACAAAAACATCAGCTAGTTGCCATCCACATGCTTCTGGACCAGGGATCACAGCACTTGGACAGGGGATGGAACCATAGGTATGTGCCCTGACTGGGAATCGAACCCGTAACCCTTCGGTTACCAGATGATGCTCCAACCAACTGAACCCCAACTGAGCCCCAATGGCGAGGGCTTTATTGACTTTTTATTTTTTAGGAGAGAAAGAGGGAGAGAGAGAGGAAGAGGGAGAGGGGTTGGGGGGAGAAAGAGAGATCAATTTCTTGTTCTAATCATGCATGCATTGGCTGATTCTTGTGTGTACCATGAATGGGGATTGAACCTGCAACCGTGGCATATCAAGACAATGCTCTAACCAACTGAGCTACCCAATGAGGGTTACAAATCACCTCTTCGTAAAATAACCAAATATCCTATAGCTTTCAATAGTTACTACTGCTAAATCATCAGCTTAGAATACAAAAATGAAAATAAAGTTACTTTACTAGTAGTTACATTTGTATGTAGTATTTATATCTTGATTGGTAACAAGATCCCAAGCAGTGAAATCAAGGACAATAACAACAACAAAAATGCCCAAAGAAATCACCTACTGGTTCCCAGTAGTTGAATGTTTCATCACAGTCAGAAATGTTGCTCAAGAGAGCAGCACATAACCTTGCTGAGAGCAAACATTTGAAAGCAGTAGATCCTTCAGGTGCCCAAACTTGTCCTGCTTTGTTCCCAGATAACCTGCTCAGAGGCAAAAAAAAAAAAAAAAAAAAAAAAAGAGAGAGAGAGAGAGAGAGAGAATGGGTCAGGAAGGACCTACCAACTAGAACGACTAAAACTAGACAAAAAAAGAAAACGGCAAGGGACATTGAAACACTGAAGTATTCACCTATAAAAGTGAGCAGTTAGTTGTTCTGAGTAGATCAATCTTAATAATTCCTTCCATTTCCTGTTTTTCAGGTGTAAGCTAATTCATACACTTCAGTTCGAGGCATCTATGACGCTCCATGTACCTCAAGCCAACTATTCATTCACTTGAAGACCACAAAGCTCTCATCCTGTTTCTTTCTTCTTTTAACAAGACCATTGCTTTCCACAGCTTTATTCATTTGCCTATTTGTTCCAAAGTATAGAGGCCTAACATGTGCTCGGTACTGTAACCTCATCGAAATCCCGATGTTGACAGCTCCTTTAATGCAGTCCTAACCTGCAGTTCCCGGGCTTGGGGAGAGAGGTAGTTGCTGGTGCTGGAGGTTTTGGGGCCCTCGCATTTAAGGGTCAGGACTTTGGGGAGAATGAAGGAAGCAGCGAGAGACAGTCGATCAAGGAGGTACCCTCTGCTCCTGCCAACTCAAACACCAAGACGCCAGACCACTCCTGGGCCTGGGTCAGGAGCCTCACACACACGCTCCCCAGGGTTTCTTTACAGCAAACGCACGCCCCGAGGCGGGCAATCTAGGACGCTGACCCGCCCAGGAAAAGCAGAAGGACCTGGGTCTAGAGAAAGCCGGGACCTCCCTGCTAGAAGACTCTCCGGGGCAAAGGCCCTCAGGGCGCGGACGCGACCCTCCGGGGGGCAGCCCCGCGCCGCCCGCCCGGCCACGCCCCCACCGCGCCCGCACACCTACTCGGTCCGGGGCTCCGCGCTGCCCGCCTCCCGGCTGCTCAGGAGCTCCCGCAGTTTGTCCGCGGCCCAGCCCGTGTCTCCGCCGCTGCTCCCGCTTCCCTTAAGGCGCTGCCGAGCGCCTCGACCCGCCATGGCCAGCCTGGATGAAAAAGGTAGAATTCGGCACCCTACGAACACCGCGAGCGGGAGACAGCTTGGGCTGGCAAACGGTGTCCGTCGAGGGACAAAAGACCTTGACATGCGCAGACAAGACTAAGTTACGGCGCTTTGGGGTCAAATGGGGCAAATCCCTGAGTAGAAAAGAAATAGGACCTAAAACTGCTTTTACCGTCACAGCTATTCCTTCCACATACTTGTAAGTCTGGCTTTTCCCTCCTGCAACTCTCCCTTCCTTCACTCTCCAGCATTCTCCACTCTCCTACAAAGACCGTTCTTTAGCCCTCCCATTAAAAGCAAGCACAAATAGAAAACAGATAAACTCTGTAAGGTGAGTATGCAGAAATATTCAGTTAAAAATCATAGCACAACTGCTTACCAAAGAGAAAGTCCTTAAAAGGACTGACAGCTTGCCCTCTCTGTATTTTGTCAAGAATGGTAAGGACAGCCAGGAAGCTGATGAACTTCTTCAGAGAGACTGGCCAGAAATGGCAGAATACAGAGTGAGGAAAAAAAGTGAAAGGCAAGACAGTCTATGCAGCAGAGTCAACCAGACAGTCGTGGCTACCATTGCCACTACTTCATTATGGTGAGCATTTTACAGATTTTATCCTTTTTAAATTTAATACTCATAACAACCCTGTTGTACTGAGAAGGAAACAAACCTGAGTTTGCATAGCTAGGAAATGGTGGAGCCATATTCCAACCCAAGTCCAATTCAACCCAGGAGCCATATTCCAACTCAGGACTTAACAACAAAGCCCATGCTCATCCAACCAGATCAAGAGAAACTCGTGCTGATTTCATATGGGCATTTTTACACAGGCATTTTGGTGATATCATGCCTGATTCTCAGGAGTCATTTACCTGCTCCTGACGTTATGCCTACTCCCCCAATCACAGCTCTATCCCACGCTCTGTGCCAGTAACTAAAACAAGTTTATAGGGGGAACACTAAACTTGACAGGGTCCCAGGTTATGATTTCATACTAAAAATTCCCAAGTATTGAAAATGGCAACTGATCATACTGCTCAATTCCCACATGCAATTTTTAGTTACCAAATTCAGACATCCCAGCCTAGCTATATCTCATACATCCATCTCCCTTTTTATTTCACTCTTATCCAGGCCCCTTGCTGCCATCTACCTAGGACTGTTACAGTAGCATCCCTACAGGGATCTCCCACCTCAAATTCATCCTGGGCAACACTGTCCAGTTAATTTTCACATGCACTACTCTTGCAACACTTCCTTAGTTAAAAATCACAACTTTATTGACTTCCAAATAAAGTACAAACTCATTTCAGCTATCACAGTCTTTCATGAGCTAACTCCAGCCCCAAAATACTTTTCTAATCTTATCTTCTACTACCTTCCTATATACATTTTACATTCCAATGAACTAACTTGAAAAGTGCCCCAAATGCTCCATTAGCTATACCTCTGCTCATGTATTCCCTCTGCCTGGATGGCATGGCCTCCCTGCCTAACAATCCTCCCATGACACCCCTACCATTGTTTTAAGATCCAGCTCAAATGCTACCTCATTCATGTACCAGGCACTACTGGGGATGGGAGAAAGCTATAAATCACTTACCTGCCTTTAATGAGTTTATAGTCTAAGTGTAGATGTAAGCAATACATGTTTACATAAGAGATTCCTTGATTCTTCATTCCCCAAACTTATTCCTATGCCATTTTCCCCATTTGTTAATGACACTCTATTATTCCAGTTGCTCAGGTCAAAAACGTAGGGATCCTGATTGATTCCTCTATTTCTCTAACTCGACACCCTTCACCTAAGCACGTATATTTAATTCATCAGCAAGTCTTTCTAATATTACCCAATCCAACAACTTCTTACACATGGGTAAGAAGGTCACCATTATTTCATTTGCATTATGATAATAACTTCCTAATCTGTTTCTCTGCTTCCATTCTTGCCTTCCTATATATGCTCTTCTCCAAATACAAGAATAAGAAAGACAGTTATTTCCTTCACAAAGTTTACAATATAATTCCAATTGGTGAAGCCTAACAATTAACAGGAACATATACTAAATCACATTAGAGTACCCCATCCTTCAGAGTCCTGAGCTAAGCCAGTCTCCCAGTGTCCCTTACAGATGCTTACAATAGAAGTCCCGCATGGCAGGGGGCGCGGGCAACTTCAGAGTTAATCACAGTTGAGGGATTACTTTTAGAGTCGACTAGGGAAAGAGAAGTAAAGTAACAAAGTGGCAGAAATAACCTGGGCTGTAGAGTCAGATGGATCCAAATATGAACTCTAAATCTGACACTTACTAGTTCCATGGCTTTAACAGCAGTCAATCACTGATTAAAAATGATGATACCAGTACTAATTATGGAGCACTTGCAACTTACCCAAACTAATAAATGTCTAAAAACCACTCTTATAGATTTAGTAAGAGAAATTGACAGGTGGGAAATACACACAGACACACAGACGCTCTGTCCAGAAGGTATCTAGCCATGCAATATGAAAAACAGAGACATTTGTTGAAGAAGATACAAGAAACATTGTATATAACATGGACACCTCATTCTCTTTCAAAATAGGCACCTTGGGACCTCACACAGTTCTCCCAATCGCCATCAGCTACCCCATTGTATTTCCCTGAAATTCATCAATGGTCTGAAATCTCTTCCCTTTCAAAGGTGATTTTAGTTTTGGGAAAAGCCAGAAGTCACAGGGTGCCAAAACTAGGCTGTAGAGGGGGTGAATCACCTGGGTGATTTGATGTTACACAAAAAAACTGCACAAGACATGATGCATGAGTGGGCGCATTGTTGTGATGAAACTGCCAGTCACCGGTTGCCCACAGCTGCAGCCTTCTGAGTCATTCAAATAGTTTCCACAGAGAAGTGTTCAAGCTTCATGCAAAATTTGATGCAGATTTGTTGCTCTGCTTGCTCAGTCATTTGGAATGTGATGGCCACACAGTAAACATGCTCTCTCAATGGTGTCTACCACTCTCACTGACTAGTACAGTGAAGTTGTCATTATTCATGCACGCACATTCCAGTCCACTCTGGCTGCCAGGTTACATCGATGTCATGCAAACTGGTCTCATTACAGTAACAATGCCTGGACTTTTTCAAGACAGACTAATATATATGTTTAATGAGACACTCAAGTTCTATTGCCTCTTTAGCAATAGAGCATCTACAGTGCATATTTTTATTTGTTTTCCTAGTCATTACTCAAAATCAAAATATTGCACACAACTCCACAGGTCACCAATCACATTATAGTCTGTAAGTTTAAGTGATGAAGTCATAGTTATCTTTAGAGTCAATAGTCACAAAAGATTTTACCAAAAAAAGCAGCCTAGAAATGACTCCCAATTACAAATTCGTTTTTTTCATCTCACACCCACGAGGATCACACTGCAGAAATGAATTTACTAAACTACCGAGGTATCACATGTAGTCGTTGTTGAATCTCTTTCCTAAACTGGGACTGCATTGATGCTACCTGCTGTCGGGTAAGGGCCTTGTCACAGGTCTTGTAGGTCAGTCTATAGCAGAGACTGACCTGTTCAGTCTCAGGATGCTGAAAACTACTAAGGAATTGTATGGATGTGACAGTGTCCTGGGACACTGCTCGGGCCACAGTGTGAAACTCTAGTTCATCAAATCCTTTCTTTTCATCTAACCAAAAACTAATATCATGCACATAGCTCGGAGGATATAGGGAATAACTTTTAAAGGGTTCTATTTTTCCAGGAACAAAATTCTTTAGGAAGCGTTTATCGAAGGTCCACAACATCCTCCAGTCAGAGATACCCCAGACAAGCATGGCTAATAGGTCCAAGTTTATAGATACAAACACAAAACACTGGTTCTCATGTATAATGGTTGGAACAGATGTGGTAACAGACCCAATAATCAGATCCTTGGCACAATCCAGGTCAAAATTATGAGACTTCACATTAATCATATAATCTTTGCCATTTGACTGAAAAATGAATTCCACTGAACTGCTCAGTTTAGAGCCCGCCAGCAATGTCTGAGTCAGAAGGCTATCTAGAATGCCCTTCAGGTGGTCTAGTAGTGACTGAAGATAGCCATCCTTCAGATTTTGATTAAACCCAAGGACAAATAAAGTTTCATGAAATGCTGGCATTGTGAAAGGCGAGATGTGGCACTTCTGAAAGACAGGTCCACTGAGGATGTGCAAAGAACCTGGGAGGAAGTCTGGTGCTTGGATGACAGCCTGAACATGAACTAGGAGAGAAGGTCTAAGCCAGATCTTGGTTTGGCCATAGATTCCTTCCTGAGCTTCTTCCTTACCATCTTTTCCAGGGCTCTTGGGTAGGCTAAGTTCTGAAAGTGACACTATAAAGTCCTCCATGTCTTGTGTTGTCCCACCAGCCAGGGACTCGGAATTTGAGTTATCTTCAAGGAGATTAATCCAAAAGGCAGCTGATGGAATGTCACAGTTCCAGGAAGTGAGAATACTGGTTTCCCCCAGTGGCAGGAAAGGGGAGAAACACTTCAGCCTTTTTAGAGGGAAAGCTTTTCCCAATTCAGCAGTCAGTTTCTCATTTATGGTTTTGATAGGATGATGAGAAGATGCTTCTAGGAAACCCCTGTTTAAACACAAATACAAAATAACCTTTTTAACTTAAATAATTATAATCAAGTTAGAATTAAAAGTGCAGATAACTGAATAGAAAAGAATTATCCTTAAGTTTATCCTTAAAGGAGACAAAGAAATCTTCCACGAAAAAAAGAGAGATCATGTGCTTCAGATCTCTGACAACCACCATCCCTACAACATACCAGAAAATGTTTAATTCTAAAGAGGTTTATCTAGGCCAGACTGACAAGCATTCAGAGTACCAACATCATTAACAGTACATGTAACATCCACTTAACATATGGTTGCCATCAAGCCAATCAGGATACAAGTAGAGATACAAGTGATTTCTAATAAAATAGCAGTTACCTGTTCAACTTTCCTACAAGTGCTTCTGGTTCTGGAAAGGAAAACCACTGGACACCCACTTTGATCCTGAACATTCTTGGTTGCGAACCTTCAAATGGTAAGCTCCGGGTGAAGATATGGTTCAAAGCACCTTCTACATGAAAGGACTTATCTTGACTCCTGGCAAAATAGACACCGAATATGATGCCTGTCACTATTAAAGAAAGCAAGTATGTCTGAGACTGAATCAGGAAATTGGCAAGGAAAAAGTTTGCCTATGATTTCTTTTTTCTTTTTTGTCATTAATAAGAGAGATGAAAAGGCTTATACCTCTGTTATTACTTACCTATATCCAGTGCACTTGTACCCTGGCACAGCCTCACAGCTGAAAGCATGCACATCACTTAAAATGAATCCTCCCAGAGCTGCCATGGCAACCACTTGCCAACTGTTGTGCCATTCTCTTGTGGGATTATCAGCAGGAGTCCCACCTTGTCCTCTACACAATGCCACATGGACTTCTCCTTCCTCAGCAAGAACATCTGCACAGCTAATGGGAGGAGGACACCAGCCATTTACCAGAAACAAGTAGAAATTATCACAGGAGTTATATATATATATATATATATATATATATATATATATATATATATATATATGGTCTGGTTATGAAATAATTGAAATCCAATCATACCCATTGGCAAAGGTCTGTTAGACTTCAAACATGCAAAGAAAGTAGCTGGAATTAAATAAGAATGTAAATTTAATGTTCAACTCATAACAGACACTAGTGGCTGACCACAGTGTAATCCAGCTTGGTATCTGCAATGTTCACCTACATGTCATAGAAAGGTCAATGCCTGCAAAATTCCTATACTGGATTCACTGATCAGGTTCTTCCCTGTGGAGAAAGTTATTCTTTTGACTCCCTGCCTGCCTGTTAAAAATTCTATATTTCAAATGCTAATTTAAAATACTGCCTCTGTGAAAAGTCTGTTAACAATTCTGACCTAAAGGGACCTCCAACAGTATCATATGTTTTGGTATAACAGTGTAGAGCAGAGATTTTCAACCTTTTTCATCTCATGGCACACATAAACTAATGACTAAAATTCTGCAGCACACCAAAAAATTTTTTTGCTGATCTGAAAAAATAGGTATAATTTTGATTAATTCACACCTGATGCATATTGTTGTTGGTTGTCATTTTTTTATTTGACAATCTAAAGGACAAGAAGTCAGTGCTCCTGACTAAAGAGTCAGGCATTGCATGTTTTAAAAATTGTTCTGGCACACTCGTTGAAAATTGTTGGTGTAAAGCACTGTGGTAAATTTGCGATAACTGTATGCGGTAGTTACTAGAAATATCTTCAGTTTATAAATGAGGCGGCAAAAAAGGATTAAGTAAACGTACCTATAATCAGGCAACTATTAAGTAGCAGGTGTGGATTTGAATCCAGGCAGTTTGGCTCCTAAATCCATGCTCTTCACTATTAGACTACACGGGCTGCCATAGTTTTGCATTATTGAAAATAGGTGATCATCCCTTTATCTGCCCAAGAGCACGCTCTTTGTACTTTTATTTAGTATTTAGGGTTATACGTCTGCCTTTCCAACTAGACTGTGTGTTCTTTTAGAGCTTTACATGCCCTCCACACTTACAGTTATTTACACAAGTATGCCTAATTTCCCAAACTAAAATGTTTGAGTGCATTTTGTAATGTACATTTTAAACGTTTTAATTGTGAGTGCTCTCCTTTTCTCACCTCTGGAAAAACTTGGCAAGGAGTTCCCTGTTCCTAGCTACTCCAGCTTTGCGTCCACAGTGCGGAAAGTTAAAACAAATTCGATCGAACTCCCTGTCTTGCAGGTCAAAGGCGTCTGCCAGCTGGGTACAGTCCACACCAAAACGTATCTCGGTACCTGGTACGAAATATAGAAAGGGGGATGTCTTAATAGAGAACCAAAGAAAACCCTTCCCAAACGTGGACCGTGCGAAACCACCGGGGCTTTTTATAAACGTTCGTGGGGTGTTTAAAAGCAACCGTCACGTTATTTGAATCCCCATGTTCCCACCCTTTCCACTTGGGGCCGCGTCAGCCGCTGGGCGGGGCTTCGCGGAAGGGTCGGCCTCGCTACCTCGCTCTCGCAGGCGTTGCAGATTCTCCCAGGCTACTGGATCCCGGGCTAAGTCGGCCGGGAGCTGGAGGCAGGTTGCGGTTAGACTAGTGCTCGGATCCAAGGTCTCGCTCACAGCCGCGGCGAAGGAGAAATTCCCCTCCCCAACCAATAGGAGGCGCCGAGAGGCCATAGCCCCAACTGGCTCCTCACTCGCGTTCTCGGAAGCGCTAATTTATGACGTCACATCCTTCGCTGGTCTCTTGCTGCCCCCTCCTCATCCGTCGTTGGTTGATGACGCAACAGCGCTTGGTGGCGTTGACAACCTAGTCCAGCAACATCCAGCGAGGAAAATAGCAAGGAGTGCAAACACGAGACACCGACCACGCTCTACCTCATCCCACCTCCACCCCGTCGGAAGTGTCAAAATTAATACCTTTTAGCCCGAGGGTTGTGGCCCTGAGCAACTTCGTCACACATGCATGAGGTCGCAAGCAGTCAGTAAAGCAGAGGGGCAGGCAGAGGGTGAGGAGAGTGCTGAGTAAAGGAAGCGGGGCCGGGCTCAGGCCAAGAAATTAGGCTGTGTTCTGCATGTTCCTGTCATAAAGGATTTTATAAATCTTCATCTCATGCAAAATGGCGTCTGCCCATGGTGTCTGCTGCTCGGAATTTATCCAGGTGCCTCTATCTCCTGCCTTTTATTTATTCAAGAAATACTGAGTGCCTAAAGTGTCAGAATACCTTTAAGATATTAAAAGAAGGAAGGATAGAAATACTGAGTACCTGTTATATGCTACTGTATGGACAGTTAGATATTTAAATGAGCAAGATGGAGCCTATGGTTTCACTGGGCCTGTAGTCTGGCGAAGAAGGATGGACAGGAGAAAAGGCAAATCTGATATAGTGAGATACCACGCTATCAGTGGAGTAATTCAGGGTGCTGTGGGAGTACTGTGGGGTTGTGCTGGACATGGCTCCTCCAAACCCCCCATAATGGAAGGCTGATGGGGGGCCCCCCTGGCCAGAAAGAGTATGTATTGCTTTGGAGGATTGTAATTCCCTCCTTATCTCCTTGTGGGAGAGGCTTCTTGTCCTGTGTGACCGCTTCTTGACCTTTTTTCTTCGTATGTACTCACTGAGGTAATGTAGTTTAGAGTCACATGGAAGACACGTGTCCCCTTTGTCTGGGACCCCATAAAACAAGTCTCAGACTCAGGGAGGTGTGGCCCTCCTTTGCCAATCTGCAGCCATCAATGCTCCCTATAATGTGAGTAATAAAGGCTATGTCTACTTCATCCAGTCCTCCTTGTGTTTTTTTTCGGCTTATCTGCAGGAGCGGTGGAGAGCCTGGGGGTTGACCTTCTGTGTTACAAGAACACAGAAGGGAAATCTTACCATTTTGGAGGGAGAAGTGAAAGATTTCCTGAAATTGAAACTTGAGTTGAAAGCCATGGGGGAAAGTATACTTTACCAAAAGGTCAAGAGGAGTGAAGAGGCAGAAGGGACAACATATGCAAAGTATGATAGAGAAACAGAATTGTTGAGTTTTGTTGAAATGTAGTTGGAGGGAAAGTGGGTAACAAATGAGACTGAAAAATGAAGCAGGGGTCAGGTCATCTAGAGCATTATAAGCCATTTTAACAGCCTGAAACTTATTCTGAAACAGGGCCAGACACTAAGATATTTTAAATACATAGGAAAAGGACACACTTAGACATTCATTTTTGAAAGTCCCACTTTTTTGGAGAAAGACTGGAGAAGAACTAGGCTGATGACAGGGAGATCGAATAGGAGACTACTACAGTAATAGTGTCCAGGGCTGATAGTGATCTGGATTGGAACTTGGCAGTGGAATGGGGAGGGTAGTGGGCTGATTCAAAAATCAACAAAAGCTAGTGATTGGATGGATGTAAGGGGGGCTGAAAGAGAAATCAGTGTCAAAGATAAGCCCAAGGTCCCAGGAGGAGACAACTGAATAGATGGTGATATTTGTCCTGCAGCCCAAGGACAGTATCACCTTGGTCTGCAGTCTGAATACTAAGCCTGTTGGACTTTGAGGATCCAGCTACTCTTTAGTCATCATGTTGTTTGTTGACATCAGTGTTGACATCTATCTTCACAAAGGCATATGGTGTGAGGACAGTTAGACCTACGGTATTCTCTTTGTCCCTACCTGTGGGAAGGTGGGTGAGTGGAGACTCCCAAAGCATGGCCACCTGGTCATTGTGATTTGGGTGATGTACAATCTTTCTTTGCTCAGAGAACTGAGAGGGCCAGATTTGGTGACATCTCTCCTTCTAAAGAAAATGGACTGGCAGAGTAAGGTTTTCTGTCACTTTCCTATAGAATCTACAAATAACAGAAGCTACTCAGCATCAAATTACTCTTCTTCAGGAAAGGTATTGTCCTGCTCCTAAGCCAAGGAACCAGACTCTTTTTAAAATTATTATTTTAATCTTTACCAAGGATATTTCCAATTTTAGACAGAGAGGAAAAAACATTGATGTGAGAGAGAAACATCAATTGGTTGCCTCCTGCACATTCCCCAACTAGGGATCATACTCACAACGTAGATAAGTGCCCTCACCAGGGATCAAACACAACCTTTTTGGCATACGGGATGATCCTCCAACCAACTGAGTCATCCAGCCAAGGTCAGACTGACTTTCCCTCTCTCTCTCTCTCTCTCTCTCCCCCCCCCCTCCAAAAATAAAAACGAGTAGGCTTTTGATTTCCTACAAAAACTGAAATTTAGACATTGGCCATCTGGTATGTTCAATGTTGATTGAGAGGGCTGGCAGGAGAGGGTAAGAGTAATGAGTAAGAGACAGATCCTGTCCTCAGGGATCTACAGTTTAGTATAGGGGATTCCACATATACTTCAAGAACTCTTGACACACGGTAGAAGTTATAAATATAGGAAAATACGAACATGAAGTACCATGTGAGACAAACAAGGAAAGGTCTATGGAACAAGTGGCATTTGAATGGAGCCTAGAAGGAAGGAAACTATCATTTATTGTATTATCTAGTTTTCCAGTTCTCCCTTGTCCCTATTCTCTTTGTAGCAATACTCTTAGTTTTTGAATTCCCATATGTCAAAATTACCTGAACATTTAGCTAGTATAGAGTATTGGGGCTACTAAAGTGTTTCTGTCTTTGCAAGAGGGAACATTTAATCTATATAATCATCCATTATTGCCGATTGAGAGGATAGCTCGAAGGACTTGTGGACCTGGAAAAAAAGAAACAAAGTGACAAAAATTAATTTGTGAGGAAATTCTAGATTCTTAGTAAGGTGTTCTTGTATTATGCTTGGCCAAGGATAAAAAAGGGACACCTTTTCTGCTTTCCGATTTGTGTAATAAACTTATCTAATCTCACCTTTCCCCAGAGACAGTTCCTCACCTGTTTCCTTACAAACCCACACTATGGCAGCCTCATTAATGCAGACGGCCATGCTGAAGTGTGGACAGATTGGAATGATATATCCAAGTTTTTCCAGTATGGATGGAGATGCACCACTAATGAGAATGCCTATTCAAACCGTACCCTGATGGGCAACTGGAACCAGGAAAGATATGACCTAAGGAATATCGTGCAGCCCACACCTTTGCTTTCCCAGGTAATCTTAACCTTCACTTTCTGTTTCCTCCTGTTAGCCCCAAAACAAATACCAGTGGCCATTTGAGAGGCAGTAATTTGATAACTTCTAATGCTCAAATCTCTCACGCTTCTGTTTAATGAAGTGGTTTGTGGAGGGCAGCAGTCCTTAGCTGGAGTACTTATTATCATTACACTTTACTATCAAGTTGAATATTATTGTAAGGTAATAAAAAGACACTTTCTCTTGCTTCTGTTTGAACTTTATTCATCTACAAAAATATATAATGTCTTCTGACTCTGGCTATCTTCTCCCCAGTCCTTGCCCTTGTGGCTCTCCTACGCAAACAAGCATACAAAGGTTATGAAAGTTGGTAGGACATAGAGTAATGACATATAGACCTCCAGTTAAAATGTGACAGAGACTGTTAGAATTCATGTCACTGTGTCCTTCATTTCCCAGTATTGGTTATAGACCCCTATATTTTTAATCTATTACTTTTTCTTTCCAGTTTGGACACTACTTTGAAACAACATATGATACAAGCTACAACAAAAAAATGCCACTTTCAACCTATAGTATGTGCACTATTCTTTTTAATTCTCATAGCCTCAGGACCTAATTCAGGGCCTGAAATGTAGAAGGAACCCAAATAAAAGTAAACTGAATGAGTGAATAAGTTAACGAATGCATGAATGATGTTCTTCTTTTCTGAATTTTGACAGTACTTCCTCTATATTTCCTTAGAAGTAAGAGTGAAATTGATTACTAAAACTCCTAGCTATTGAGGGATTCCATTTGTCTATCTTTCTCTTTTCTCATCCCTCAGGATTTAAGCGAGAGCCTCACTGGTTCCCAGGACATCAACCTGAGCTGGATCCTCCTCGATGCAAATGCACAGAAAAGTCAACTTATATGAGTAGCTATTCAAAACCTCAACTTGGACATCACTCTGCATGTGTGTGTAATCATAATAGCTGCCCATTTCAGGATCCAGGATTCTAAAAAAAATAACAAACTTCATTTTTCCACAGCAGAATACAGGAGGGGGCATATTCTAAGCACAACAAACAATTTAGCAAACTCTGGCATAGTTTCACTCTCTGAATAGATAAAGCATCGTTTCACCCCCCTTTAACCAAGATTTAAATGTCAAACTTAAGTTGATTACATCTATTAGTTATACCTTCAGGGTGTTGTAGAGGGGCAATAAAAAGAATTATTTCTCTCAAATCTACAACCAGTCTGTTCTTCCTTGTCTTCCATCAGGAGCAAAATTCAATATGACTTAGCTTATATTTGCCTAGATGCTCTCTGAATATGAGTCTGATAGACATGGTCAGATAGTGTAACTTTAATGTCATCTTAATGAACATTCCTCTTAAGGACTAGAAAAATAAAAATAACTTTTTTATTATAGAGAATTTAAAACAAAAAAGTAGAATATTATAATGAACTATCGTTAAAAATTTATGACCAATTTTACTACCCCTATCAACTTTCTCTGTTATTTATTTATTTATTTTTGAGAGAGGGGAAGGGAGAGAGAGAGGGAGAGAAACATCGATGTGTGGTTGCCTCTTGGGCACCCCCTACTGGGGACCTGGTCTGCAACCTAGGCATGTGCCCTGACTGGGAATCGAACTAGTGACCGTTTGGTTCTCAACCTGGCACTCAATCCACTAAACCACACCAGCCAGAGAGGCTTCCTCTGTTTTTTAAATTAATTTTGGAGCAAATCTCAAAAATTATACAATTTTATCTATAAATATTTCCATTTGTACTTCAAAAATATATGACTGTCAATTTTTGACTCCCCACAGACATCACCACAGGAACCTGTTGATCAAACAAAGCTGAGTTATTAAACCTATAGCAACGAAGAACATCAACTTGACAAAGTGTTGGTAATGATTCAAAAGGAGAATATTTGGATAAGTTATCTTCAGTAATATGGGATACCCCACCCCAAATTAGTTGGTTTAACTTTAAGATGGGTCTTTCAAAGTAGGAAATTTGTAGGGATTGAGAAAAGGCTGTGATTAGTTTAGGGTTAGTGAACCGTAGAGGCAACAGTCTTAATTTTAAAGTGACTAAACTTAGGGAAATCCAAGATGGCTACGGAGGAGGTGAAAACTACACTCACCTCCTCCCAGGACCAAATTGGAATTACAACTAAAATATAGTGCATTCAACTGAAGACTAGCTGCAGATAAGTCTGTTTTTAAAATATATTTTTATTGATTATGTTATTACAATTTTCCCAATTTTTCCTCTTTTGGTCCCCTCCACCCGGTACCCTCATTCCCTCCAGCAATAGAAACAGGCCTATGGAGGCCCACTCCTCCATAGAAAATGTCTATGGGCCTTGCATATAAATTCTTTGGCTACCTAACCATATCTTTACGGGTTCCTAACATTCCCCTGTCTATTTGTTTTTTTAATATATATTTTATTGATTATGCTGTTACAGTAGTCCCATTTTTTTCCTCCCTTTTATTCCCCCCACCCTGCACCACCCTTCCTTTAAGCTTCCCCCCTACCCCCGCCCTGCCTTAGTTCATGTCCATGGGTCATATATGTGAGGTCTTTGGCTTCTCCATTTCCTATACTATTCTTAACCTCCCCCTGCCTATTTTGACCTACTATTTATGCTTCTTATTTCCTGTACCTTTCCCCCCATTCTTCCCCCTCTCATTCCCCTCTGATCTCCATTTCTATGATTCTGTTCCTGTTCTAGTTGTTTGCTTAGTTTGCTTTGTTTTTGGTTTGTTTTTTTAGGTTCAGTTGTTGATAGTTGTGAGTTTGTTGTCATTTTACTGTTCATAGTTTTTGATCTCCTTCTTTTTCTTATATAAGTCCCTTTAACATTTCATATAATAAGGGCTTGGTGATGGAACTCCTTTAACTTGACCTTGTCTGGGAAGCACTTTATCTGCCCTTCCATTCTAAAGGTTAGCTTTGCTGGATGGAGTCATCTTGGATGTACGTCCTTGGCTTTCATGACTCTGAATGCTTCTTTCTAGCCCCTTCTTGCCTTCAAGGTTTCTTTTGAGAAATCAGCTGATAGTCTTATGGGAACTCCTTTGTAGGTAATGGTCTCCTTTCCTCTTGCTGCTTTTAAGATTCTCTCCTTATCTTTAATTTTGGGTAATGGAATTATGATGTGCCTTGGTGTGTGCTTCCTTGGGTCCAACTTCTTTGGACACTCGGAGCTTCCTGGATCTCCTGGAAGTCTATTTCCTTCACCAGATTGGGGAAGTTATCCATTATTTTTTCAGATAAGTTTTCAATTTCTTGCTTTTCCTCTTCTCCTTCTGGCACCCCTCTGATTTGGATGTTGGGACACTTAAAGGTGTCCCAGAGGTTCCTAAGCCTCTCCTCACTTTTTTGAATTCTTGTTTCTTCATTCTGTTCTGGTTGAATGTTTATCTCTTCCTTCTGCTGCCAATCATTAATTTGAGTCCCGGTTTCCTTCCCTTTACTGTTGGCTCCCTGTATATTTTTCGTTGTTTCACTTTGTATAGCCTTCAGTTTTTTCTCCATTTTGTGACCACACTCAACCAATTCAGTGAGCATCCAGATTACCAGTGTTTTGAACTGTGCATCTGATAGGTTGGCTATCTGTTCATCATTTAGTTCTGTTTTTGGAGCTTCAATCTTTTCTTTCATTTGGGCTGTATTTCTTTGTCTTGGCGTGCCTGTTACTTTGGGACAGGCAGAACCTTAGGTGTTCACCAGGGCAGAGCAACCCAGGTTGCTGCTGTTGCGATGCTGTGTGAGGGGGGTGTGGTCTGAGAGGGAACAATGCCACTTGCTCGGCTCTCTTCCAGTTTTCCGTCACTTCCCCCACTACACACAAGCAAATTGGTCCCTTCTAGTGCTGATTCTCAGGTAGATGGGTTTGTGTATGTTCTAGGACCCTGTGAGTCTCTCCAACAAACTCTCCTGTGAGGCTAGGAGCTTCTCCTGCCACCAGAACCCCCACAAGATTTTACCTCCAGAGGTTTTGAGGCTTTATTTTCCCACACTGGAATCCTGGATTGCACAATCTGTCTCGTTCCCTAGTTGTTCCTCATGGTTTATCCACACACAAATGTGGGACCACCCAGTTTGTCAGCTGCCGCCTTGCCTGCTGGGTCCTCCAGCCACTGCCTTGCCACATGTCCCCTCCATCCTGGCTGCCTGCCCATCTCTGTCCCCCTACTGGTCTGGATGAATGTTTCTTTAGCTCCTTGGTTGTTGGATTTCCATGCAGTTCAATTTTCTGGCAGTTCTGGTTATTTTTGTTTATAAATTTGTTGGTGTCCTTCTTTTGTTTGTGTGAGGAGGCAAAGTGTATCTACCTATGCCGGGAGTCCTGAAGATAAGTCTTATAAGCAAGGATGTACAGAAAAAGCTACATCAAGACTGGTAGGAAGGGCAGAATTGCAAAAAGGACTAGGCCTACTCCCATAGGCAGCAGTTGAGATTCTGGAGGGGTATCTCAGCTGCAGAAGTTCCCTCTGAGAAGCAGGGGTGGGTGGGTCTCAACCCAAAACCAGGCTTCCCAAGTCAAGAGCACCAGAGCCGAGAAGAGGAGCCCTCATAACATCTGGCTGTGAAAATCAGCAGGGATTCTATCTGCCAGGAAGAAGCAGAAGTCCATTAGAGACACAGGCGCCCTCTTAAAGGACCAATGCACAAAATCTCATTCACAGCCACTCATCCTGGGCTCTGGCAGAAGGAGGACAGAGCATACTAGAGTTGCGTGCGGAGGGTCTGGGTTTTGTAGCTCTAGAGAGATTGCTGAAAGGATAACATCCAGGATCCCTGTGCTGAGTTCTTCTCCTGCACTGCAGATGCCTTATTTCTTGGCTGAAGCACTCCCCTTCATATGGCATTAGCCTGGGGGAAAGCAACAGACCCACTCCCTGGACTCCCTGCTTCCCCACCCTGTGGAGCTCATGCACTGCTGAGGAGTCAGGTGCCTGGGCCAGCGTATAGAGGTCTAGGAAGGCACAAGGGAGTGTCAGTAATTGTGTTGTGTGGCTTTTGGGGCAGGGACCATTTCCCCCACTTTCCCATGAAACTGCCTGGCTCCAACCCCTCACAAAAGATCTGATAGCCCCACTCTCTGGTCTCCTGGCAGCCCTGCCCTCCCAACTACTAGTGGCTCTACCCTGCAGAGGTCAGGGAAGAATCTGGGACAGACTGAATTGGGTGGCACCTGCCTCTCAAAGGAGATCCACTAGCTCATCCTCCTGACTCCTAGAGGCCCCCCCCTGCTGAGTTAAGGCTTCTGGAAGAATCTGCCACAGACTGAGTAGTGTTGCTCTAGGGATGGGGCTATTTTTCTTTCACACACCTGAGCACTGCAGAGCCCTCTCTTCACATGACCAAATCTTAGACCTTACCATAATTGCTCCCTAAGACCCCACCATACCAAAATGGTTTGCAAGAACCCAGTGGGTGGCAGCTAAACTTGGTATACCCTGGGACATTTGCTGAGTGGCCTCATATCAAATACTGGTACAGAGTCTGAACCTGTATTAATCAGGTGAATACCATTCCTCCCGGGTGAATCACTGAGAACCTGCCTCATACAACTCAAGTACTGACAGAGGCTCTTACAAAGACTGAGCTGAATGGGCAGCTGACAGGTGAAGGCAGGCAGAGGTGAAACTTAGGGTAGCTCGGGAAGTTTTCTGACCTGCCCCTGGGCCCGGCATTCATAAAAGCTGGCTTTGCTGCTCAGCTTGGTCCCTCCCGTGCACAGCCAGGCCCAGCAGAGGCAGCCACAAACTGTAGATTGCTCTGTAGCTCCAAACATTGCCCAGGAACAGTCACAGACATCATCTAACATTGGTCTGCACCAGAGTCCCTCCCAAGAGGTCCTAGAACCAGCACACCCAGTGGCAAGCTTCAGACAGCATCAGAGAAGTATCCAATTAGCTTCGCAAGTGTCATATCCCAAGGCAGATCTCAAATGGCACCAGACCCTGCTGATGCAAATTCCAATTTGT